ATTTAAAAGAGTTAAGAGATAAGGCAAATACAAGGTCATGCAGAATTAAATATTTAAATCAGGTTATTACTGGCAAGGAGAAAACTATACATCAGCGTCGGAAAAAATAAAGGAAAAATATTTAAATTTACAGTTAAAGAAACTTCAAAACAAAATTTTTTGTTTGAATCAACATCTAGCTTTCACGGAAAACTAGTTCTCTTATAAAAAAAGCCATGTTATGCCAACAACTTGCTGACAAAAATGCTGTAATTCTTGCACTGCAAAATGAAATACTGGTTTTACAGGAGATGGAGCAAATGCATCAAGTAAAAACAACCACAAAAAATGAAAAAATCTACTCAGCAGATATTAGGTTGCTTATCTATGACATGCTTGTGTGCCAAGTACCTACACATAGTGTGCCATATCTTCTCCAAAAAATTGGTAAACACACTGGCTATTAATTAAGTCACATTCCGCATCACACTACTGTGGAGCAAATGATGCGTGAGTTAGGTGTGATATCAGACTTACAGACTGCAAAGATAGCATTTTCAACAAAAAATCTGACAATTGGATTTGATGCGACAACTCAGGAGGGTGTTCATGTTAATGTTGTGCACTTGACAACCGAATCAGTATGCATAGTTGTAGCTATTGATCAACTTCCTGGAGGTACAGCTTTTGATTATCAGAGTCACATTACAAAGTCTATTGATAATCTTGCCAAGTTATATAGTGACTATTACCAGCTACAATACTCGGATGTACGAAACATTATTATTGGCAATATAACTAATACAATGAGTGACAGAGTTGCAACAAAACATACAACAATCGCAAAGCTAAACCTTATTTGGCAGAAATCATTAAATGAACTAAACTGTCATCTTCACCCCTTGGACGCAATGACCAGTGCTTGCAAGTCTTCACTGTTGGGAAAAGACTGGATTGCAGCAAATATTGTTTTACAGCTAAATAAACTTCGCTACAAAGATGCAAAGGGTACATGTATAATCTTAATCTTATTCTTTTACTTTAGTTAAATTGTATTTCTTTGAATTATTAGTTTTAAATCTAAAACAGATTTTACATGTAGCATAAAAATGTTTTTTATTTCACATGCTTTTTGCCGCCTTTAAAACAATATACCTAATGTTATTTAAAGGTGACCCAAAAGGTTTTGTAGCCTTTTTGGACCAACACAAAAGGGAACAGACAACACATTCTTTTTCACACATGTGGTATTTTGATTCATCGCTATGCAATATTTAAGACGCTTCTATTCTGGCTTGGCGTTATGTGGAGGTTTGAGAAATAATTTGTTGCAAGACTTTACATCTGAAACAGGTTAATCTTATATATGATTGTTTACATTCTTGTACATGTTCAGTTCTACTATTGATAGGGAGGCTTGCAATAATAAATCTTATGTATAAAGTTTTTAAAACCAATAGTTATGACACTTGCAGGCATAGATAGGGGATTGTAGACTATCAGAGGCCAATATTATAGTTTATTATTCCCTAACATTTTATTTCAGGTATCCGTGAACTGCATGCCCTAGCTTTAATTGGAAAGCTACTGACTGGTCCTTGGATGAAAAAATTTTATGTTGGTCAGGGACTTGACTACATATCTGGCATTCAGGATGTTCGAAATGCTCTTATCGAGAGCAGCAAGAATCCTCTCTATCTAATTAAACAAAAAATAGATTTTTTTGGAAATGGTGTTAAAGATCCAGTATTTGATTCAATAATCAGCATTTGCCCAGTAACTGATGAAATTGATAACTAAATGAAATTGAGGATGATGATGCTGTAGAGTATGAGATGAGCAAATATAAACTATCTGCAGACATCATAAGTGGTAATATGGTAATATCATAAAGAAATAGTGTGTGAATTGATTTTAATAAGGTATATGTTATTTTGAATAATAATGTAGTTTATTTAGTTTCATTAATAGATTTCATTTACAGATGGTAAGTTTATTGTTTTTTTGTATTTTTTTATTTGTAAGAGGTTAAAAAGATTTATAATTCTTTCATTCATTATTTATTTACATCAGATCTAATTTCAGGTAATCTGACTTAACTTTATACAATAATGAGTTCTTAATAAAAATACACAAACCTCCTCCTACCTTGCCTGAGGTCCTAGTTTGGTGAATCACTTTATAGTTTGGTAAATGGAAATTGTAATTGTTCTCAAAATTTTTATCATAACACCATGTCTCGCTGAGACAAATAATTAGAAAATTCATATTAATTTTATATAAAAAATGTTTTAATGAATCAAAATTTTTTTGTATACTTCTAATATTAACATGAAGAATAGAGAGCGAGTCGTTCTCCATTCCTTCAATTATATTTTTGGAATTTACGTTATAATATAATGGGTTAATATTTTTTATTAAATCATTATTAAAAAAATTAATATCCGGGATCAGAATGTTTTTTTAAAAGTATTGATTTTTGAGTTAGCAATGAATTAAGTTCAAAGTTTTTTAAAGCAGGATCGTCAGCCATTTTAAATAAGAGTAATATTAAAATGTAAAATATAGTTTTTAATAGCTGGGTTGCTTATTTTTAAATTCTTTAACAATAAGTTTGTCATAAATAATAATTGAATATTTATCATTTTTTCGGTGTAATTTTATTTTGCCCAGTAATTTTTTTCTTATTTCATTTATTTCGAAAGAGTAATCTTCATTGATGTACATTCCGGATCCTTTAAGCTTATTAGCAGCTTGCAACGCTTTAACTTTGTCCTTATAATGGAGAAATTTAACTATAATCCTTGATTTGTTGCCTTCTTTTTTACCAGTTCTATGAGCTCTTTCTATATTTATATTACTTAGATAAAGATTGTTTTCAAAAAAACCTATTACTTTTTTTTCAGTGTCGCCCCAATTTTCGTTTTCGGTAATTCCATCAATAGGCAGATTGTTTCTCCTAAGTCTGTCCTCCAATTGCCTTAACTTTATATTTTCACCATCACCAGTGCTGCTTTTATATTTAATTTTTTTTTCCAGTTCAGTTACTTTTTTTTCTTGAATGTTTTGTGTGACTGTTAAACTTTCTATAACTTTATTAACATTTTCCAAGATTTTCATTCATTCACATAATATTTTAAATTCGACTTTCAACTTTCCATTTTCCTTTTCTAACAAATCGCATTTTTCTTTTGAATTACTTGCTTCTTTTAATAATATGTCAATTCTGTCATTTGTTAACTTTAGGTTTCAAGATATGATTTTTAAAATGTCATTCTGCTGTTTTAGAAACATTTCTTGAAAAATTTCACAAACCATTTTTATTGAGATAACTGATTCGTCTCTTTCGATATTAACGTTATTTTTCTTATCATTAATATTATTTTTCTTATCCATTGTAATAGATAATTAGACTTACTTTTTGAACAAAAACGTTTGATGCGGGTAATGTGAAATGTGTTAAAAGTTAATACTAAAAACTTGAAAATACTAATTAATTTTTCGTTTAATTTTTACTCTGCAACGATTACTAACGATTGCAACTCTACTAACGATTGCTCTGATTGAAAAAATGCATTTAAAAACTTGAAATTTTTAATTAGGCTCCTAAAAATTTCATCAAAAAAGTTTAGTAAATTATCAATGCACTAACTCACAAGATCTTGGAGCATAATTTCATTTTTTAACATGAAAAACTTGTTTAAAAATTTTTTTTTTTTACAAATCGATAGCAATTAGTTTTCTTGCTTTCCTGTGCACTGATAAAAACAGTAAAGTTTAGCAAATACATTTGAAAAACAAATTTAAAAAATGTTCGTGTTTCTAACGCAAATTATAAAGTATTTCCTTAATATACTGACTGAAAAAAGTCACAAAAAAATTGTATATCATAAAAAAAAATTTTTTCCTTTATATCTTTATCTTCTTTTTCCCTTGACTTGTATCAATTTTGGTAGCTGAAAATAACAAATGCCCTAAAACTAAGAAAACAAAAAGAGTAAAATAGTACCCTATAAAAAGCATTTCTCATATTTAACCATGTAATGGTTAGGTTGGTTACCATATAAGCTATGGTTTAACCTGATTGATTTTAAATTTTAACTTGAATATTATTATATATTTTTCAATAAGCAAATTTTGCTTTTTCACCAGTATCTTTTATCATTTAAGCCTATATGGCATTTATTCTACCTTTATATTTTATTTTACTAAAAATAAAATTCATTGTAAACATTAAAAACGTTTCAACATTTCAACGAGACTCAACATCTATAATTTATTTATATAACATATTTTAAATAAAAAAATGGTTTTACTATATATATTTCCTGCTCAAATCTATAAGTAGAGTTAATAAAAGTAGTAGATTTTTTTCAAATTAATATAAAATGATAATCATATGATTATTATTTTATATTAAAATTTTGTTGTATTTTAAATACAACAAAATTCTTATTTTTTATTCTTATATTTATTTAAACAACATTCAAGATAGCGGTTAATAGAAGTCTGGTAATAGAAGTTAATAGAAGTGTGGTAAAAGTGAAGAAGTTTTCTAGTTTTAATTTTTAAAATGCTTAATTTAGGTATATTATTTTTTTGACAACAATTTTTTTTTTAATATTCAATTTTTTTAACTTATTTTATTTAGATTTTCTATTTCTATAGTCTTGGGTTCTTTTTCTTTTTTAAGTATTGCAATTTTATTCTCTAGTTTTTTAAAGCTTTATTTTGCTGTGAATTCTTAAAATGCTTACTATATAAAAACGTGGTCAAGTTGTCTAAAAAAATTACTTTAATCATGGACAAAGGCGTGCAACCGCACACACTTCCCGGGAAGGCTTGATATATATATATATATATATATATATATATATATATATATATATATATATATATATATATATATATATATATATATATATATATAAACAATTTAACAGAGAGTTATTAAAATAACTTGTCTATAAAATATATATACAAGATCATGAAAAAAAAAAAACAATATTAAAAATTCTTACTGACGTCAGATGGATAAGCCTCCCTTGTAATTGCTGGACCTTTACCAAATATGTTAAAGCCATAAATGGCAATAGTATATTGCTCAGTAGCTAATCCAATTAAATTGTACTGCATTTTAGGTGAACTACTTCCATCATCCTTAACATCAATTCTAGTTTTATTTAAAACTCCAAGTCTTGTGATGTAATATTCAATACTATAAGAGGTAAAATCTGTGCCTGTTTCATTTTTTGGTATCTTTGTCCAAATTAAAAGTAACGACGTTTTTGTTAAAGGAGTTACGTCAAAAGAACGAGGTGCAAAAGGTGGATCTAAAAATTTTTGATTTTTAATTTAATTAAAAAATGTCTACATTGTTAAAATTTTACCATATCTAGGTCCATATATGTTTTTTGAAAACTACCATAGTTTTACAGGTTTTAGGTAAAAGATAAAAAGATTTAAGTAACAAACATAAAATTTGTTAAAACTAGTATATTAATTTACAGTGGTTTTGGATAGACACTTTATTTTGCTTAAAAACTAAAACAAAAATAATAAAACGAGAACATTTTCTTTTGTTTTCTCCTTTTAAAATCCTTTTTTTTAATAGAAAGATTTTCTTAAAAGTTTTTAAAGATTGCAAGGGTTGATTTTCAATAGTTAAGTGCGAAGAAAAACTGTGCTCATAGAATGTTTAAAATTAGAACTGTTTGGACAGAATGTTTTTGATTAAAACAAAAAAATATTATTATATCAAGAAAAACAAATTTCTCAGCTTAAGACAAAGTTCAACCTTAAATTCTGACTAAACTGGAGAATGCAAGCTTCAACTAAACCTAAAAAGTTTTTCTTAGTATATAGTTTTTATTTTGCTTTAATCAAAAAAATTCTGCCCAAACATTTTTTTTTAAACATTCTTCTTTATTATAAATAAAACTTGTTTTGGCACAATTTTTTTTAAATCAATAAGTAATAATTTAAAATAATGCAAAGTTTTTGGTCAGTGTGCAAATCGTCTATAAAAAAACAAATCATGCTCATTCATTTCAACAATTTATTACTAATACACTTCTCACCAATACTTTAATTGTTATTGTTATCAAAATAATCATAATCCTTATCACAATTATCTAGATCTATGTTTATGAATGATAATGTACTCAATGAGTCATCTACCCTTCATCTTCTATGATTAACTCTTACTTCCAATCTTTCTTGGAAACCATGTATCAAATCAATTGCAAAATTAGCATCTGCTAAGGTGGCATCTCTTTATTATGCTCACCACTTTCTTACTCAGGATTCTATTCTTTATCTCTATAAATCTCAAATCCATCCTTATATTACTGTTGTCATATCTGGGTCAGATCTTCCAATGATGCCCTTTCTCTTTTAGACAAGGTGCAAAAATCTATTGTAAACATAATTGGACCTGCTCTTGCAGCCAACATCCAGCCATTATCACATCATTGTAATGTTGTTTCTCTTTTCTTATTTCTATAAATACTATAATGGGCACTGTTCTAAAGAGCTAGCATCTCTTGTGCCATCTACTAAACTTCATTCTCGTGTTACTTGTCATTCAATTAAGTCTCATTCTTTTACTGTGACTGTTCCTAAGTGCTTTAAAAATTCTTATTCATCTAGTTTTTTCCTCAAACATCAGTTCTTCGGAATCTGCTTCCTTCATCTTGATTTCCTGATTCATACAATTCCCATTCTTTTAAGTTGTTTATCAATCGTTATCTCGTGCTATAAACTTTATCTTTTCTCTTCCAGTAACTTCCAACTTTAATAGTGGTTGCTTGCAGCCTTGTTGGAAGTGAAGATCTTGTAAAAAGAAAAAAAAAACTCTAAAAACATGAACTTTTTAGTAAACAACAGATGTACTTTTATCGAGGATGACAGCCTTACAGAGATTTGGCATTCGAAAGAGAAACTTATCTAATGTTTCAAAACTTAAGTTTTAGCAGGCATCTTGGAGACATTCTTAAAGACAATTTATATTAGTTGGAAACATTAAGTGTACCTTCCTGTCCACCCATGTTTCTGATCATCCAATTTCTCTATAATTTCTCTTTTACACTTTTTGCTTTTCTTTTGTCTTCATATAATTTAATATAAATTAGAAGTGTGTTTAGGGTCATTGTTTTGAAAGACTTTTACCAAAATTACGAATACCAGATGGCACACATTTTTATTCATTGTTAATTTGACTTGAACTAAATCACCAACCTTTCCTCCTCCAAAACCACCCCAAATCATGACATAACCTGGTGGTTATGTCTTGATTTTCACTGAATAACTTTGACAATTATCATTAACACATTCACCTACCAATTGTTAGACTAATAGACATCTTCTGATTCCAAATAATTAGAACTTTGATTCATCAGTCCAAAAGACTTCTTTTCATTTGTCTAATATCTACGATTTATGATGTCTTGCCCACTTAAATGGTTTTTGTTTATTTACACATTGTAACCAAGATTTTCAACACGGTATGCAACCATTTAGTTGTAGTCATCTCCTGACTGTATCAATCAATATTAGAGTTGTTTCTTTATTCTATTCTTCTTTAATCATAGTGGCTGGAAGTCATCTATTACATTTGCTCGTAACTACGATGTGTTTATCTTTCATCTTTGTTGTAAATCTCTGTCTTACTGTCCGTTTTCAGTCTTTTTTCTATTTTATAACACAAGTACCTTTCTTCAGATAAAATTTGAATTTTCGTTTTTAGAAACAAAGCTCAATTAAATATTCTGTTTTTATTTTATTTTTTCAAATCATGTTTGCACAAGTCTTGCTAAAAAATAAATTAAATTTCAAGTTGTTAGTACATGTACAAAACTAAGAATTATATTCAGTAATTACACATAAAAAAGCTGTCTACAATATATATTCAGTAATAGGCTTTTGCGTTTCTTACGCATGACTCCGACCAATCCCGCACTTATGCGGCTTTTGCGGTTTTCCGAGATGCGTAATTTTTTTTATTGAAACAGAGATTAGTGTTGCAAATCATTTTGCGGAAGCATCTGGATTGGCCGGTTTACTGTGGTTTTAAACGTATATTGCGGAATTCTAGAGATCATTTTGTTTTTAATTTGCAATTTAAGAAAAAATTTAATAGGTTTCATCCAGCTTAAAACACAATCTCTATGTTAATAATACAAACAAAATTCGTTTATTATGTAATAATATTATAGGAAATTATTGCATGCATTTTAAGAAAAATATCATTGCTATAACATGAGATGTTATGAGCATTTTTTTCAGTTTTTAAGTCATTTTTTTAAAAATTACCATAACTAAAAAATTGTGTATCATTGTACACATATTTTTGGTGGGAATTTATCACGTGCTTTGCGACTTCGTGAGTTGTAGACGAACAACAGTGATTTGAAACACTGAACTTTGAAATTTTGTTGAACAAAATGTCAGCTCAACCAAACCAAGCTGGTGCCTAGGAATCAGAAGTTGAGGCCACATTGCAGAAGAGCAGGGCTGGTTTAGTAATTCATAATGTGAATTTATGGGAGCATTTTTAGCGTTTAAATCAAACAGAAGAAGAGAAGAAAAAATACCAAGCAAGAATCAAGTGTAAGCATTGTCCAAGAGTGCTTAAGCAGGTTTGTGGTTCAACTTCAACTCTTCATAGCCATTTGAAAAGTTGCCACAAGGATCTCGCTGCCAAGCTCTACAAACATTAACTCCAACAATTTAACAACTACTGAGTTTTCTACTTTAGGCTGCCTGTTATAACAACACGGACTGTTTGACACTTTCAAATCTGACGCTGTCAGCAAGCACTTGTCACAAACTGGTACTCAGCAAGAAGTGCTGCCAGCTCCAGTTTGTGTAAAAGCCTTTGAGGATTTTTCACCTTTTGAGAAGCTCGCTTTTGAAATCAACAAGCCTGAGGCTTCCAGACAGGAAGCTGTGACTAAGTCACCAATTGAGCTCGAGTTAGTTGTCTTTTTTGCATCTCCTCTTCCATCGCGAGAGGTGGATCCTTGCAAATGGTGGCGTGACAATGAAAATCGTCTTCCCCTTTGGCTCAAATGTTTCGTGCCACCTATGCAATCCCTGCAACTTCAGCACCTTCAGAAAGGTTTAGAGCTTTTTTACATTTTAAAATTGCTTCTTTTCATCACATTACTGCAGATTGTATGACTTCCTAATTAGTTTGCTGACAGTTTAAATGGTTAAATTTTAAACATTTCTAAGAAAAGTTTTCAAGAAAGCAGAATTTTTTCCCCAAATTTTGAAAATAAAAAAATGTTTTAGGCTGTTTTCTGTTGCTGGTAATGTTGTTACTGACCTACGGACAAGACTTGACCCAGAAAATGTGCAAATGCTTGTTTATCTTCAAGCAAACTTGAGGCTGGCCAAACTTGATGAGACGTCCGTGAAAAGAATGGCCAAACTGCTGGAAACGTCTGACGAACGTGAAACCCGCCTCCAATTGGTATCAGAAGTCAATCCATCAAAAAATGAAGCAAGATTTTTGACGTTTTAAATTTTTCATGAGGCAGTGTCATTGCGTTGAACTTTTTAAAGTTAAAAATGGAAAAACAAATTTTCTCTAAGTAGGCCTCTAGTTTTTAACATGAAAAATATTGATATTAGTAATTTTTATGCTAAAAACTATCAAACTGCAAATAAATGTGCTAAAATTTTTGTCCATTTCTCTTTTTTTTCCTGCAGGAAAAACTTGTACATTCATAACATTTATAATAGACTTGCTTATGTATCTTGTATGTTTTACAAAATGTAATGAAACGGTTTAAAACCGACTAAGCCGCGATTAACTGCAGTGGTCGTAAAATTAAAAGAAAAATTTGCAGAAAACTGCAAGAGGTCGTAAATATTTTGCAAGAATATGCGGTAACACGGTTGTCGGAATTTTTCCTCCTTACCCAGATGCCTATTCAGTAATAAAACTTGTATTCTAAATGGAAATTATTATTCTACATAATGCAATTTACTCCAAAACTAACTTGAGAAAACGTTAAATGCTAAAATATCAACTCATTATGGACAAACTCACTGGGTCAAACTCAGAAAGTTCTACTAACTAAATACTACTGCGCACAGATATTTACACAAATTTGCATAAGAAAATAATTAAAATGATTTTCAGGCAACTTGCCTTTACAGGGACTTGAGACATTCACATGAGAAAGCAACAAGTTTTGCTTCAATATTGAGTATGAAAAAAGACTTGTGCATATATCTTACAAAAAAAAAAAAAAAAACTAAAATTAAAAGTATAGTTAAAAAAACCATAAGACATGTTTTTCACTTAAAAAAAAAAAAAAAA